CTTCATGCTTCTACATGCTAGACCTAGGGCTTGGTAGCGGAGCGTACGCGCCTCCGTCTCGAATCGCTTGGAGTCGTTGGGATCGAAGGCATCGGGCCATGTAAGGGGAAGAATGGTGATTGGTATACCAACTTGACGATGTTAGTACTTGACCGCCAGATAAGTATCATGGATTCTCACGCTTCGTATGTAGTTGCTGTGACACCCATTTCGCTTCCTCTGTACTCTCCGGTCTTACTTTGTGGTCTACAATGAAGCCATGGGGAATAGGCAGCTTGGGGTCTTCTAGTCGAGACTGTGCGTATAGCGCAGCGAGTGCCATTGAATCGACACCCCCACTGATGGCAATGCCTGTGTCGTACATCAGTCGCGCATACTTGCAGCGAATACGACTGCGACTTACCCAAAAGATTCTTGCCTACATCATCACCCTTCTCTTTCACGAACACACCATCTCGCATAGCCGACATGAACTCATCGTTCCCAATTGGCAGAGCGCTCGTAGACTGCGCGCGTCGGAATAGCCCAGCTACATGGCTCCGTCTCGCAGTATGGTAACAATGCCCGCATCGTCGGACATTGTTTCTCCACATAAGAAGCACTGTCGACGCCGATGCAATGCGAAAAGAAAGCAGCTAGCAAGGGACGAATGTGAGGTTACTCGTTCTGGTAATGCGCGAGATGCCAAACGTTCCGCAGCGTGTTCCGAGGTAAGTGCACGGACATGGAATTTTCTGGAAGGGCAAAGCACAACATCTTCATCTTGCTGTCTAGCTTTCAACCCGAACATCTTCCTCTCTCCAAGCCCAGCGCACCTATAACGTTTTCTTGATTCTACGTGATACCCAGTTCCCTTCCGTCCATCTGTCAACATGGTAAGCTTTCCCCCAATACCAACCCACCACACCAATCTATCGACTCGAGCATTGCGCACCACTACACCCCACCACCCATCCTCCACCTCTATCTCCACCTCTACCTCCAGCTCAGCTCCCAGCTAACCAATTCTCCGCATAGTCCGCAATCAAGTCCATCAAGAGCATTGCGCCGCTCCTCGACCGCATCCTCGTCCAGCGCATCAAGCCCGAAGCCAAGACCGCAACCGGCATCTTCCTCCCCGAGACGGCCGTCAAGGAGCTCAACGAAGCAAAGGTCCTCGCCGTCGGCCCCGGCGCCTTCGACAAGGATGGAAAGCGCGTTACCCCCAGCGTACAACCCGGCGACAAGGTCTTGATCCCGCAATTCGGCGGAAGCCCCATCAAGGTGGGCGAGGAGGAGTTGAGCCTTTTCCGGGACCACGAGTACGTACACACTATACTTGGAGCTGTGGTTTGAAGATTGTGGGATAGCGGCTAATATGTTATGTGCAGGCTCCTGGCTAAGATCAACGAGTAAATCGGGCATATGCCATGATAGAGTCAAGATAGGTTGGCTTGCGTATCCTGTACCAACACCACACCCGAACATTCACGAAACGCGAGACGCTAGCATAACGGCCGGCGTTCATTTGGCATATCATCTGGCTTGGGGCTATCTGTTTTGGAAAGCGTTTCTTCGATAACATGTATTTACAAGGAAGAGGTCGGACTCAAAAGACACTAGATGTCGCGCAGATGTGGGGGAGAAACAATGATATAAGAATCTCTACTCTACCGCACTTCACTTGTTGTCGGGACTGAAAGGTCATATTTCGCATTATTCATGAATCTACTGACATGCTGCAGTGAACAGATCCATCCGGAAGCCGCGCCAGGGACGCCTCACTCCCTCTATAGCCGTCAACGCCTGGGTATTTGAACCAGCGCTTACCACCCTGAGTTTCCTCCAGCGCCCCACGCTCTTGCGCTACCTTCCCCAGGTGCGCCTTGATCATACGAATTGTATGCGCCACCTTGGTTATACGCACCATAAGATCCTGGCGGGGGCTGTTGAGCCGGCGGCTGGCCATAGCCTCCAGGAGCAGGGTAGTTTTCGTACCCTTGCTGGTAGTTTGTCGGGACCGTGTAGCTAGGCTCCGCACCTTGACCTCCAGAGTACTGGCCTTGACCCCATCCATATCCGCCAGAGGGCACTGCGTTGCTGTACTCAGCAGGCGGCTGGTATCCTTCACCTGCGTACGAGGACTGGTAAGGTTGGAAGTCAGCCCACTGCGAGGGCTGAGGCGATGGCGATGGCTGGTAAGGTCCTGGTGCTGCCAAAGAGGACGCAGAGGGTTCATCGTCCATGTCGCGAGTTCTTCCAGAGCTGCCGCCGAAGCTGCTGAGCATACCGCCGAGAGGGCCGGGAAGTTTGCTCGTCAATGAACCTAGGAGGTCGCCCGATCCGCTGGACTGCTGTTGGTGACCACCGCCACCACCACCGCCATGGCTGTGGCCGCCGAAGCTCGACATGTTCACTGCACCGTGGCTGTGACCTGCGGAGTGATCGTGGTCTCCGCTGTGGTTATGTCCAGCCTTTACAGATTCAGAAGACAGGATCTGGTTCAGGTCCTTCCCGTGGTAGTTGCGGGCCCATTGCTCCACGACCTTGAACATGTTGTTATGTACCTCGCAGTGCGGATCGCGAAGTGCTGGGTGATGAAACACGCGCATACAGTCATGCAGGACCTCGTCGACCGGCACATCTGGGTGGTCCCAAGCGTATATGACGCGGGGCGCGACGTACTGTAGGATAGCGACCGCGACTTGACCGGCGGGTGGGTTCAAGACGTTGGAGAAGTGATCCTTGGACAGCATGCTGTGTGTTGGGTTGGTGGATGTAGGGTCCGTCCATACCTCAAACTGGTGCTTGGCCGCTGAGTCAATAACGGCAGAAGATCCGCTCTTCAGCTGGGTCGATGCCGTCTTGATCATCGGCAGAATGAAGGGCGCAAGCAGTGATAGCACGAACAGCGTGACGCGCTCGGTAATGGTCTCAATCAGCTTCTCTAGACCGGGGATCTTGGAGACGATGGCCGAGATCTTGCGGACAACGTTGTCACGGAAAACTTGAAGAGGTCAGCTACAGCTACGATTCTCTGTTCGCGAAGGCCTTACCTAGAATTGGGTAAATCTTTGGGATGATGGTGGCTGGATCGGTATTCGTTCCTGGGATGTCTGGTCCCGGTGGTCCGCCCATGGATCCAGGTGGTGCAGCGAAGTCGTTGGGTCCAGCCCTAGACGAACTGTAATCGCCGTAACCACCTCGCGCATTCTCTGCAGCTTGGGCATCAGAAGAGGCCTGCAGACTCTGTGCTTGGCTAATGAGGTCGCCAGTGCCGGGTACTTTACTCAGTACATCAATGAGTCCACTGCAGGCATTGGATTGGCCTCCAGGTCCGCTTCTCTGTCCACCAGACCCGCCAACTGCATCTACGAGAGCAGTGTTCACCTCGTCGATTTCGGTCTGAGTAATGTGATCATTGGCCTCTCCCAGTACCGAGTGGAAGAAGTCAACACCTCCGAACGTGCCTGTTACGAGAGGATAGGTGTGCTTTCCATGGAGGTTGATGCCAGCTTGGACGCCCACGTGAGGGAATACGTTAGTGTAGCCGAGTTCACGCAACACGAGTTCAGTGTAGTTGGTATGAGCTCCGAAATCTTCGAGGCAGTGCAGTCCTTGACCCAGACAGCGAAGCGCTTCCGAAAGGTCTTCGTCCCGACCACGTTGGCCGGACTGTCCGTGGGTGTAAAGTCGACCGAAGTGGATGGCGCGAGCGAATGAGTACTTCACATATCCGGTCGAAGTAGCCCAGTTACCATGTTCGTTCGCGATATAGTTCTTCATACCAGTGTTTGGGTCTACTGCAAGCTCGGCATCTGAGACAGGACCTCGTAGACGAGGGTCGTATTTTCTTGCGTCCTCATTGTCGGCATAGTCTTTCTTTGAGGATGTCAGTATCAACACATTCGTATGTCTGCAAACTGCAGTTGCTTACAGGGTTATCTGGGCTCTCGTTAGTACGACAAAGCAGAAGAGGCTCAAGTTCGCTTACCGATGTGTTCTTCGGGCCTATACACACCTAGCCTCTCGGCGGTGACCTCAAACTCTCCAGTTGCATAGCCAAAGGACATGAAAGACAAAACCCAGACCAGAACGCGAATGGTTTCTCCCTACGTCTTGTAAGCATGTCGATGGGGGAAATCGCTTCTGCTGCTTTCGCGTACTTGAACTTTAGCCAACGTTCCAACATCAACAGCCTAAACCGGTCAGCGCATTCCGACGTCGCACAGTCTGTTGGGCTTACTTGTGAGTAATCGCGTAGCCAGTTGCCAAAGTACACACGCTACACATAAGGTCAGTCACCGTCATCACATCTACATCGTCATATGGGCATACCTTGATCATGTTACTCTTCCACTTATGACCCTTCAAGCAAGCGACCGTCGCAAGCATATCTTCGATATCGCCATGACGCCAGTTCTTGCCTTCGATTTTCGATATCGACGCGATGTTTCCAGCACCGAAAGCGTCTGCGCCGGCTGGAAGTAGGACGAGGATGGCGATAGCAATAAGCAGCACGTACTGCGAGGAGACTCCCATGATGGCGGGGTGTAGAGGGGAATGAAGAAATGGAAGATGATTTAGCTCAGCGCAGTAAGAGTCTGCGATAACTGTTCGCTGGAGTCAGCTGCACTTACGTAGTGAAAGTGTGGCCCATGATGGCGCAGCAAATGACGCCACAATGCCCCACCTTCCCTCGGAAATCCGGCATGGAGGGGTAGCACAAGACCGAGCCCAACTCAGTTCCTTTCCTTAGCCAACCACGGCAGAACCAAAGTCATGATGAAACCGCAGTATAATGGGAAGTCCTGGGAGCTCTAAAGAGGTATGTGGCCTTCTCGGTTTGCGCGTTCAATACTGTCATACACTGCGCCACGATTCTTCCTGGTGTAGAGCAACCACGCTTGGTCCGCTCGCACCAGCCAAGCCAGGCAGGCACGTAGGTGGGCATGATACAGCTCGGAATCTTCCGAGTTATTATCGCAGCATGTGTCACACTCGAGCTCAAGGATTCAAGATCAACCCATCTTCGCAACCAATACCTGAGCTTTGCGTAACACCTCTCGATCCGTCTCAAAGTACAACAACCTCTCAGCCTCTTCATAAGAGTACAAGCCCGTCTGAACCCCTTCTTCACCAGGCCCTTTCATCTCGCAAGCACCTTTGTCCATGATCGCGACGTACCACCATATAACCTTGACACCCTGACCATCTCTCAACGTCCGCATAGTGACCATGAAAGGTTCTACCGAGTCGCGTGAGATGCGTGCCACGTCTGAGGCGTCCGCCGCGTCGCCAGCGATAGTCGCTCTGGTTCTCATATCCACTGGCAAGATATGACACTTGTATCCAGTTTCCTCGTATACTTCGCGTAGTGCAGCTTCTTGACGCGATTCTCCGATGTTTCGACGGCCTTTGGGTAGGGTCCATAGATCGGATACAGTGAGATGGATTAGGCAGATCTTCTGGCGAGTTGTGTCGTAGAGAATGGCGCCGCAGCTTTCGACAAAGTTTTCTGAGGTATACTGCTGGGTTGGGAAAGCTAATTGTGCCATGATTTGGGTAAGGGAAGGGCCATGGGGATGTTGTTGACGAGAAGAAAGTCGACTCTACGTCGATTGTAGAACTGATGCCTTGGCTGCGGCTGAATGATGGTTGCTTCTGGCCAATGAGACTACGTTCTGAGTAGTAACCCGAACACCTTCACATCTATCGACTTGTATCTCCTGTCGCGTACTTCTATCCTTAGCCGTTGAGACTCAGAGTCCCAAAGACCGCGAATACTTCCAGGGTACAGTTTAGCATGATTACAAAATAGACCTGTCAGCGTCGGATGCGCCCCGCACATAGAACACCACACAGAGTCAGAGGGCCCTTTGCTCTTCATCCGAGTGTGACTCTTCAAGATAATAGGCCAAATTACGCTAGCCTATTACAAACAACCTATCCCTATATAAGGTAGCATGAGATTGCCATAGGGCGTAACTCGACATGAAGAAGAAAACGCGCAACATCTGACATCTAATAGCATCAAATAACACCAAATAACACCAAATAACCCTACTACTATACACCATGCTATCCATAGAGAAAATCACCATCCTCCCAATCCACTGGGACCACCCAGACAGCATCCACCTCCGCTCCAAACAACAACTCGAGATAGACGACCCAGACTACACAACTCCGCCCTCAGCCGCCGACGTCCCCGTCTTCCTCATCGCGTATCATGAAGGCATCCCACTAGGCTGCGGCGGTCTACGTCCTCTATCTCCTTCCTCAGAAAACGCACAAGAAAGTTCTGCTGAGATAAAGCGGATGTTTGTCGACTCGCCGTACCGAGTGGGATTAAAAGGAGAAGCCGGGCTACGCACATCCGTTGCGACGATGATACTCGAGAAGCTGGAAGAGGAAGCGCGGAGCAGGGGTTGGCCGTGGTTACTGTTGGAGACGGGCGAGAATATGCCGAGGGCGAGGCGGTTTTATGAGAGGTGTGGGTTTAGTCAGCGGGGGATGTTTGGGGGGTATGTTGAGGCTGAGGGGAGTGTGTGTTATGAGAAGTGGGTTGGAGGTTCTGCTTCTGCTTCGTGGGTGTAGAACAGCAAGGATGGCGAGTAAAGGAAGGAATGGCCCGAGTTCTGCGAATACTAGAGGTGTTCTCCACGCACGAACAGTGGCTGATGAGTCCGCTCCAGTGTATATACAACATTGCACACCTTGGGCCTATGAGTCACGGCATCAGCTCTGTCCTCATTCCGTACTTGCCAGTCCGCCTCATTGACCTCGCGCTTATCCACTACACGCCACAAGTCACCGGGGTGTGGAAATACTGCTCCTTGGGGTATTGCGTCCTTTGCAGCTGGATCTAGGAAATAGAATCGATCCTTGGAATAAGACAAAGCAATCCATCGTGCCCCCGGTTTCGTCACTAGCGCTAAATTCACAGCCATGACTACTAAGGGATGGATCAGCTCGGGGGTTTTGGCGGCATCCAGGTCTAGAGGTTCGTAGGAGCGGATGGCTAGTGGGTATGGCAAGGGGACTAGGACGTCGTCTGCGCAGGCGATGGAGTCGCATGTTGACTTGTCCACTATGACGGAGTAGGCTGCACGCTTGCATGCGCGCATAACAGACTGGTAGTCAAGCAGGTCTACGGCGTCCCAGCGCATGCATGCAGCTTCTCCTATGTCCTTTCGCGGATCCTGGTATATTTCCTGTTCCCGGATCTTGCCGACTTCAATCGCAACTTCAGAGTAGTCCAGGTTGTGTATTTGTCTCGGTGCGTCTACATGGGAGCGCAAGTGGTAGGAAAGCAGTGATGTGCCGCAGCCTATGTGTAGAAGTTCCGGCTTGGGCGTGGGTGTCGCATCCAGGGCATCGACGATGTGCGGATCTAGGGCATTGGGAGCCTCTAGCCACTCGAAGGGGTCTGTGTTCGAGGCGAAACGCTCATTCCAATAAGCTTGCGAACCGAACGAGGGTGGCTGTTTAGAAGGCATTGCGAACTGGGAGGCATTGCATTAGAACTGGCTTCAGAACTATAGGCGTGATTAGTTGTCATATCTCCACTAACAGGCTCAAACGTAGATGGTATGGGTTTTAGGCGCGCGATATGCAACCTAATTCACGAGTACAGGAGTGATACCCGTATGGAGGTTTGTTGCGGTGTGTGAAGGTCTCGAGACGCGACGACGCCCAACGTTGGAAAGATTAAATGCGCCGGTCCGAGCGTCCTCCGAGCCTCGATCATTTCTCATCACTCGGACTCCCGAGGCGACGAGACGACGAGCATCACCACCCACAGCCATGGCCAACCTCCAATCGATACCACGCTTTCTCCTACCCCGGGGCCCTCTGCTCCTGCGACCCCAAGCCCGCGCATTCCTGCCACTACCCTCTCCCACGAGCGCCCGCCATGCGTCCATCACCCCCAAAGGCCTGTCAGAAGAATTCCGAAGACGGCGGGAAGCACAGCAAAGCAAAGGAGCACCCGTAATACCCCAGCCCGACAAATACCGACCGCCATCGCACAGCAAGCGAGCGCCGAACCGCAATCTCGAGAACAAAATCTATGGCGCGCCCGTATCCGAGGAAGACAAGAAGCGCATGGCGACGAAGAAATACCCCAACATGATGAGTCCCGAGGGCACCTTCTCGCATTGGTTCCTGCACAACCGGGCCATCCATCTCTGGATAACAATGGTACGATTCCCTCTCCAATGCCACCCAAGCACCCCAAGCTAACCCCGCTCTCCCCACAGGGCATACTCGTCTCCCTCGCCATAGCAGCATGGTACATGGACTTTATCTCCAAGACCGTTTTCGGCCACCTGCTTCCCTCGCGAAAAGATTTCCTACGCCATCCCTTCGAATCGTCGTCGAGATTCATTGAGGTCTACAAGATGCATATGGAGCAGACGTCGCAGCAGTATCAGCAGCAGAGGCTGAAGAAGGCGGAGGAGGTTGAGAAGAGGAAGCAGTATCGGTTGGAGAGGATGAGGGAGGCTGAGCTCAAGGGCGAGGAGTATGTCGAGGATCCGAGGTATTATGTTGGGGAGGATGGTGTTAGGCGGAGGAGGGTTAAGAGGTGGTTTGGTATCTGGGAGTGAGGTGTTGCTGGAAGGTCTCTCCAAGAAGACAGATTATCAGAGGCATACATGTGGTAGGGATTGGGTCGCGCAATGGCATACGGCAGTGTAGGATCTGCGTGATGAACGGCATCGAGTCGCGCGACGGTAGTGGGAAAGAGGCCAGCGAGACGACGTTTGAACCCCAGCTCCATTGAAGAACTGTGGTTGACTGGTATTACGAGGCATGTATATGAAGGTGTGTATACTAGATGGGTGAATCCCGTTCTTCAAGAATCGACAGTTAAAGGACATCTCCTTTCACTTCAACATTTAAAAAGTCTCGAAATCTCTACAACCGCACATCACCCCCTTCCTCCTCCCTCCTCCCAAACCAGACCTCATCCTCCGGCCCCATCCCCCTCTCCACCCCCTCCACCCCACACAACCCTCCAACCTCCGCCGGTACTTCCCACTTTCCCATCTCCTCCACCCTCGTCGCAAACACCATCCCCAACCCCGCCTCAGCATGCCATCCCACGTGACAATGGAAAAACCACAAGCCCGGATTATCCGCCACAAAGCTGATCAACAACCACCCATACGCCTCCACACTCGCCGTATCCCTCCTTAACGGATTCGTTAAACCCATGTGATCTTTACTGTGGTCAGGGGAGAGCAGAGTAGAAGGCGGATACCCATGTCCCTGGGCCAAGACGAAGAATTTGTAGCCGTGGAGGTGGAAGGGGTGTGTTCCGTCATCGAGATTCTGTATCAAGATCGTTATAGTGCGTGTGGACTTGGTTTGGTAGACGAGCTGGTGAACTGAGTCGAAGGGGTGTGTGTCTAGTATACCCTCTTGCGTCTTCATCTCGGGGGTTTGTGTTGAGAGCAAAGTGTTTAGAAGCGGTGATGTAGCATTGATGCGGAAGGAACTGTCATTCAGGTACCCGCGCGAGAGCCTCCAGTCGCGGATCTGGAACGAGGAGCGCAGGTAGAGGGTGTGCTGAGGATCGACATTTGGGGCTGGTACTGCGATAACGGGGACCAGGGTTGAGGTGTTTAGATCTCGGCATTCTACGTCGATGATTTCGGGCCAGTCTTTGCTTGTTGGGATGGGGTTTTTCGTGTCGTCGTCGTCGTCCGCAGAAGGATAGTATAGTACGCCTCTGACTTCTTCTTGTAACTCTGGCTCTTCGTATGCAAAACAGTGGGTTATCATCCTCGCGCGCATCCAGTACATGCCTTGGTTTTCCTCCTCTTTTGGTGGCGTCACGATGATACTGTATCGTTGCGCAGGATTGATGTTCAGCCGATGGATAGACTGGGGGTGCACATCCGTGCCATCGACTTCTGTGACCTGGAACTCGTGTTCGTCGATCTGTAAAGCAAATTCTGCGAATGCTCCGACGTTGATGATGCGGAGTCGTGTGTTGCTGGTACGAGATAGATTGAACAAGGCGTTACTGGTGCCAGAGGAAGAGCAGTTTCGATTCGGCAAGTCGGCGCAGTCTCGCATGTTCCTTCCGTTGATCAAGGCGGAGGGCGGAACGGGTTCGTCGTTCTCGCTGCCAGGGGCGAGGTACTGCATGAGTAGATCGGAAGAGAGGTCGTAGTAGTAGTCTGATACCATGACTATGCGGTCTTGCTCGTACGGTATCTTTTGCGATTCTTCTTTCTCTTCTCCGCCTCTGGCATGAATGACAAGAGGTCCCACCAAACCATCTGACGCCTGCATGCTGACATGAGAATGATACCAGTACGTTCCCGTCTGCCCTGATACATTGAATCGGTATGTAAACGAGTGACCCGGGGCAATTGGACATTGCGTCACTCCCACTGTTCCGTCCATCCAATTCGTGCCATTTTGATAGAGACCGTGCCAATGGAAAGAAGTAGCGTTGATGGCTTGGTTCTGAACATTAACAACAAGCTCGTCGCCTTCGTTACACTCGATAAGCGGTCCAGGAAAGGTGCCGTTGATGAGAATCATGGGTCGATACACGCCATCTGGGCTGAGAATGTGATCGGATACTATCCATGTATACTCTCGGGTCGTAGGTGGTGCGTTGAAATCCCATGATGAGGAGAGTATGTAGTCTTCTTCCGGTCGAAGTCTTGCAGGATGAGCATCAAGGGAGGGGGATGTATCATTCCGGGTACTTGTCAGACCCCGATACACCAGGGCTATGACTGTACATATAAGAAGCGAAACAACGGTCACGGGCCTGATCCATGGCCACCGATGAATGTGATGGTGTGAAACGTCGTGCTTGTCGCTCCAGCGCGGTTCCAAGTCGTTTTCTTGGTCTTCGCTGCCTCGAGATTGGGAATCGTCTGTGGGTGCATGCAGCAAGCCAACTTGCTCCTCGGGCTTGTGCATATTCGATTTAGACATCTCTTTCATGCCGAAGCTTTGGTTGCGGCCCATCGCGGTTAGCTTCCAAGACCACTCATCAAGTCCCTGCCTGTGCTGCGAAAGCGTGATTCAGGGTATATGTAGCAGTAATTGCCAATGTTTGATGTTTGGCGTTTCCTGTGTCAAGCACCCCGTCGTCCCTGCGTCGGATCTGATCGTTGTAACGTGCCATCTCGTTCAAGGAGCCTCTGAACACGACCGCCACCACCAGCCAGCCGCTGCACGGGTCCAGAAGATCATCACGCTACGCCACCCCACCTGCAGTGTCACTGGTGTCAGGTGTGGCCATCCCTTGGATCTGCGGGTCGCACCAGGTTTGCCGAGTTCGTGTCCAATCAGCCCCGCACGTTCATCTCTCAAAGCTATCTAAAGCTTGTCGACCTTCCTAAAAAGCTTATCCTCCCGCATCGATGTGCGAAGTACTCTCCCTAAAAGTGCGCACATGTGCGCTGCGAAGAATGCCATTGGTGGGGATGTGACGGCTACACTGCATGCCGTCCCTGGGCTATCCAGACCCTTAGGCACTACCTAGCGGAAGCGGCGCCTCATGACCCTGGCAGATGAGATGAAAAGCCCTGAGGAGAAACTTCATGTATGCCTGCTTCTGTCATTTCATCCGGCGTTTCTCCGTTGTCTTGACGTTCCTTGGTAAAGAGATATTGTGGTAGAAGGAGCCGAAAGGGCGTGCTAACCAAAACAACAGATTTGTCTAGCCATCATGATTACTCCACTCGTTTCATCTCTAGCACTTCTAGCGACCCTGAACCCCGTACAAGCCCAAAGCACATTTCCAGGGAAAGCCTTCGACCGTATAGCCATAATATGGCTTGAAAATACCGATTACGACCTCGCAGCAGGAGACCCAAATCTTGCATGGCTCACAAAGAAAGGCATCAGCCTCACGAATTACTTCGCAGTAACCCATCCTTCCATGCCCAACTATGCAGCTGCCATATCAGGCGACTACTACGGTATCAACCATGATGACATGGTCGCCATTCCCTCCAACGTATCCACCTTGGTAGACCTACTGGAAGACAAAGGTGTTAGCTGGGGCGAGTACCAAGAAGACATGCCTTCAGTAGGTTTCCAAGGGAAATCGTACACGAACCCTAAAACCGGAGCGAACATGTATGTGCGCAAGCACAACCCAGCTGTGTTGTACGATTCCGTGGCGCAAAAGACGGAGAGGCTGGCAAAGACAAAACCCTTGACCATGTTCAAAGAAGATATGGACAAGAACCAGTTGCCGCAGTGGATGTTTATCACCCCTAATATGACGAGCGACGGTATTTCACCCAATACATCCTGCACATCCCCGTAGAAACATACTCACACCCCCAGGCCACGACTCCACCGTAACCGTAGCAGGAACCTGGACGCGCAACTTCCTCGAACCCCTCCTCACCAACAAGAACTTCATGAACAACACCCTCGTCATGGTAACCTTCGACGAGAACCATTCCTACGGGCAGCAAAACCGCGTCGTGGCCATACTTCTAGGCGATGCCGTGCCCGCCAGCTTGGTCGGCACCACAGACAACACGTACTACAACCACTACAGCGAGATCGCCACTGTACAAGCAAACTGGGGCTTACGTACGCTGGGCCGCTGGGACGTTGGCGCAAACGTGTTCAAGTTTGTCGCGGAAAAGACGGGTGATAAGGTTCGAGCTTGGTCGGGTAAAGTTCCGTTGAGCAACATGTATTTCAATGCGTCGTATGCGGGCAAGTTGAGCAACAAGAACAAGTCGGTTCCTTGGCCTGTTCCCAACACGGATGCGGTGTATGCGGGGAGGGCTGTGTTGCCGGCTATTGCTGATACGTGGGGGAAGCAGGTTGGGCAGTCTGCGTATACGACTGCGTTGGAGATTCCGGATGGCATGCATCCGGAGGCTGAGTTCAAGTAGTCGCGCTCATGACTAGAAATTTGAAGATCATCGCTTACATAGAGCAAGAAGTACCACTGAGTACTGAGCTATTGTTTGATCGTATGCTTTGCAGTCACGCTGCTGTAACTAAGCGTGACTGCAAAGCGTACGATCAAACAATAGCTCAGTACTCATTAGTATCGACCGATCCGATATACATTATCCCTAGACTAGGCCAGACCCGCTGCATACATCGCTGTCAACTAGACTGCCCATTGTCTGCGCGACGCTTTCTTTGCCTCCTCCATACCCTTGGCATCGCGTCGTAACACAGCGCCCACTACCTGTATCCTGCCCACATCTGCGTAAGCGCCCTTCCCAATTTCCTCTGGCCATATATCGGGGTGTAGGATCGTGTACTCAGCGAGCTCCGCGCCTTCTACTTGTTGCAGCTTCTCCAAGAAGATGTCATGGCCAGGATTAGCCGTGGGCATCGCGACACCTGTGTAAACGACGATAACACCAGTCGACGACAAGATTTTCATGCCTTCTTCTACGATGCGTATGGAGAGGTCGAGACCGAAGCCAGCGCCACCATCTGCGTATATGGGCAGATCCTCGCCGTCTGTACTCGATGCGATGTATGGTGGGTTGCTCACAATCAAATCCACACCATGGTGCTTCAGATCTTCAGGCACGGTCGCGAAAAGGTTCGACTCAGCAAAGTCGATCTTGACGCCCGCCAGCTGCGCATTGACCTCGGCCAGACTCAACGCACGCGGATTCAGGTCCAGCCCCAGCGTCTTTGCCTGCGGGTATGTCCTCGCCATGTGTATCGCGCCTGCGCCGGCTCCACAGCAGACATCTACGATACTGCTGGGCGCATGTGGGAGGTGTCGGGATATGGTTTGGAGGAAGCCGACGAAGAAGTACGTGTCGGGGCCGCAGAAGACGGAATCGGACGCCGCTGGGAAGGAAGAATGGACGTAGTATAGCGAGGAGACATCAGGATCGCGACTCGGGAGGTTGGGAAGGTACAGGTTGGATACGCGGATGGTGGAGCGGTAGCTTTTGTCGTCATTCTGTGTGATCACGCTGGCTTCGTGGAGGCGTTCGAATATGTCGTCGGGTATTATCGATCGGAGTGCTTCTCTGTCACATTATTAGTACTGCAAGATATACATAACCTGTTCCGTAGAAGACAAACAGTGACCTGTATGACCTACCTAGTACATGACAAGTTCCACCCAAAGAAGTCGTACGCGTTCTGGGCATCTTCCGTCGCGACATTCGAGCGTCGTTTCTCCACTACCCTGCCCTGTGTCTCTGACGATGGACACACAAAGACGTACTTCTGCTTGGCTAGATGTTTAGTCAGGGCCTGGTAGGCGATGGTAGTTTCCGACATGGTTGGAGGAGTGCTACACGTTTGTCTCCGCGGGCGACTTCATGGCGTAACGCCTCTGTGACACAACCAACATGGCTGAGTGTCAGTGCACATGGTACCAAGAGTTGACTGCGCCGCGGAGCAGAAGCAGGTGTCAGGGTGACGTTGTTGTTAGTAATGAAGGCTGCGTGAAAGCCTTCGTGGATGTCGTGATCTGGCCTGATCTACCCGAATAAGAGCTGTTCTAGACGCCCAGTGCAGGTTGCATGCAAAGAACCATCGCTTTTTCCTGTCGCTTGTCGCATCGCTTGCAGTTAATGGACAGATTGATGTCGCGAAGACGTTAGCTCCCACGCGGAAGGGTCGCGCGGTTTGTGGGGTGCGCTTGGCCTAGCTGCAAGTAGTCTAGTGCCAGATGTCGTCACGGATCCATTTCCCTGGCGATGACATTGACATCTCAAAAGACACCGCTGCGTGGTATTCATCGTCAGCATGATCTACTGTGCGTGTTTGCCTGGGGGCGCATGCTTTGCCACAGGTGCACTAGTGATAGTCAAAACCCATGTGCTACTTCATAGCTGGAAGAATGGATTACTATTCACACCAAACTCCCGCCTGCACATTACGATAGATTACTCATAATGTTTATTCTACAGACTACTACAGCTGTACTCATTGCATTTCTTGCAGTCATTGCCTACAATGAGATTCGAAATCGTCTTGCGAAAGGACGGTCAAGAAGAAAGGATCTTGAAACTCCAGGCAGCCCAACCATACCCGCTACCAACGATGCCAAACCACCAGTGGATGACGGGACTTTGGAGACATCTCCCGTCATTCAGACGAATCATTCAATCGACCCCGAACTGGAGATATACAAGCAGCTCTACTACAAACTCCATCATCTCGAACACCACCCCGAAATACTACCAGAGTGTCGCGAGCTTCTCCTTGGTCTCCTCTCCTCAACAACCGCCGATGCAGCCAAGGAACCCCACAGCGGAATCTTGACCGTCGAACAATTCTCGCGCGACGGATTAGATGAGTTCCTCAAAGCCAAGGACGTCGACGTCACCAACCGCTGGGAGGAGTACCTTACGCGTCGCAGAGCCGGTGGATCCCGCGAGATGTTCAGTGACAAGGAGGAAGCGAAGTGGTGGCTCAAGCAAGCAGCACCAGTCAAGTACGTCGATGGCACATGGCTCGGACACATCAACAAGATTAGCACGCCATTCAAGTACCGTCAAATCACCAAGAATGCCTGGCAGGTCATGTCCGAAGAACTTGGGGACGGCGATCTCGCAAAGAATCACGTTCACGTGTACAGAGAACTGATGGAGGACATCGAAGCTGGGCTTCCCGCTGCCGATTCGGAAGACTTTATTCATCTCCGTCACGACTTGACTGAAGCACGCTGCTGGAAAGCCGCCATGGCTCAGCTCACCATCTCCTTGTTCCCCCACGAATTCTTTCCAGAGGCTTTGGGCTTCAACATGGCGTACGAGAGTCTGCCGCTCCACTTGTTGAAGACCGTCAAGGAACTTCGCGAACTTCGTCTAAACCCGTACTACTTCGAGCTTCATATTTCCATCGATAATGCCGATTCGGGTCACGCTGCGATGGCAATGGCTGCAGTGACCAACTACATCGAGTTGGTTGCAGAGCAAGAAGGGGAGGAGGCGGCGCGTATTGCGTGGAAACGCGTACAGGCTGGCTACATCCTCGCTGAGGGCTTGCCTACGACTCCCGAAAGTCCATCGCTCAAGGTCCAGGCCGAAGAGCCCTTTCCTCGTACGGGCACAGAGGCGGCGTTGGTCGACATATTCGCTGCAAAGAGCTTTGTTGCTCATAAAATCCACTGTAACAGTCGCCTGAAAATTGGCCGCCGTTCTTTGGTGGACTGGCTAGAGCCAAATGCTTTCAAAGAAGCGCAGTGGCAGAAAGAGTTCCTACAGGATCTGAGTAACTGCAAACCTTGGGTCATAAAGGGTGACAGTGAGAAGAGCAGGCTGGTCAAAGAGTTATCATGGGAAGGCAAGATGTTTGGAAGTTTTACTGAGAAGGAGGTGGAAGTCGTGAAAGCGTGGATCGACGAACTTGGCTCGCCCGTTCAGTCTCCGCAGTCTGATCCAAGCGTGTACTTTGACTTCACGGGACAATCTTCTAGTCCCCCGGTAGAAGCCGTGACCCAGGACTTGAACATTCTTACCGACTACCCCGTCCTCGCGACACCAGAACCGATTACTTCATTCGCGACATCCGACATCAGCAATCTGAGCATCGACGAATCCCCCATTTTCAATTTCAGCAACATCAATCTGACCAACCTCCTCCCACTATGGCTTACCTCACCCACTCTACTTGAAGCACTACCCGCAGTACCCGTCCGCGCTGCTGACATGTTCGGCTCCGCCATCGTACGCGTACTCCGCGCACAGACCGGGTTCAGTGCGGAAGGTCCTGGTGTGGCCGGCATGGACGAAGTTCATCGGACCGACGACGGTCACGCTGTCGGTCTTGTGGAACTTGGCTTGCGCATGTGCCGCAGGGAAGGTCTGCATGTACCTGTCAGCTTGAAAGAGGGTGTTGCTTTGGGTAGTGATGAGATTGTGTCGTTTTCACAGTGGATGGTTTGGATGGGTATGCGATGGCTGACTCATCGGGATTTGCTAGTTGGTATGGCTTGGGCGTTTATGGAGATGCACGAAGCGCTGGCTAAATGCCAGGAAGACAATACGTTGTTGGATGAGCAAAGTCGACGTGTACTGCAAGAGATCGCGGTCAGAGAGAGAAAAGGGCTTGAAGTCTGCAGAGAAGAGATCTTCCAAGACCAGAAGCGCAAGGAGGAGTTTAGTAGAGGTCTTTCCACAGCAAGACGAGCGATCAAATCATGTTTCACATAGCAATAGTGGGAAGAAGATCATGTGTAGAACTAGGCATCTTACGATACCCATGAATTCATTTGTTCAAAAGGTGGCCCTCAGGGCTAAAAGAAAGAAGCGAAATCAACAGCCAGACTATATACAACTCTCCAGCTCAAAAATGTATGTACAATGAAAGACTTTTTAACAAGCCAAAGTAGTCGCCCTCTACTTCTTGAGGGTAAGGAGACCGGGCCTGTAGGGGAGACGGTCGTAGTCGCCACCGGCGTTGGGGTTGCGGCCCTGGTACAACAGCTGCAGGTTGCAAGGGTCGACGGTCATGGTCTCGTCGTTGGTGACCTTGACCAAGTCTCCGTGGGAGATGTCGTTGGTCCAGGTGGCACCGCTGTTGGCCTTGCCGGCGAAGGGGTTCTGCTCGGTAGCAGCGTTGGGGGTCCAACTGCCGCCGAGGCTGGAGGCAGTGAAAGAGCGGAAGTAGCGGCCACCAGAGCCGACGGCCTCGACGATCATGAGGTACTTCTTGGAGGTTCCGCCCTTGACGGTGTAGACCTGGACAGCCTCGAAGAGGTTGTTCTGGGTGTCGCTCATGACAACGGTGGAGGCGGTGCCGAAGTTACCGGGGAAGTTGCCCTGGGGCATGCTGGAGCGGTAGATCTTGCCGTTGTCACCGGCGAAGAACAGGTACATGTTGGTACCGTCACCGATCAGGGTCTGGTCAATGGGACCAGTGCTGGAGCCAGAGATAGTTCCAGAGAAGAGGGGCTTGGCCG